GAACATTTTCTTTAATATAGGTAAGATCAAGGTGAATACTAGTAATGATAATTAAGATAAGTCATCGTTTCTATAAATTTTTATTTTCAATTTATCTTCTTAATGACAACTCAAATTTGCATTTATTTTATTTATTAAATAACCAAAAATACTAAATTTTCAATCATTTATTTTTATTTTCTGAATAAAATCCTAATTTCTTTTGAAGTTCAAATTTAAAGTTTTATTATCATATTTATAATATCCATGATTAATGTTAATTTTTGATAATTAGAGATAAACACTAAAAAGAATTAAGCAATACTTGATAATTGTTAAAGATAGTTGAGTTGAATAGTCGAATTTTCTCAAAAGATTTCTTAGGCTTTGGAAAAGTAATTAAAGGCTCAAATAAATTTCATGGCCTCTTGGCCAGATTAAATTGTTTCAGAAAATAAAAGCTTAATATCAGAGTACTCTTAGCAAAGCATCCATTGGTATATTGATAACTTATGAAACGGAGATAAATTCTTAGAAAAAAAATCCATTTAAATTAACTTTAGAAATTTTTTAAATATATAAAAAAAATTTCAATTATAATTAATATTAATCATAAATGATGATAGCAAATATTCATTACTTGTATTATTTTATTGAAAGTTTATTTTAAATTTGATTCTAATTAAACTCCACAATTCTATTATAGTCTCATAAAAAAAAGTAGCTCTCAATTGACACAGTTTATATTTCTGTAATCAACTAGGATAATCCGAGATTTAAAAATATTGGATTCGAAAAGAAGGTCAAAATTATAATTGAAAAAAATTTATTTGAAATAATAATTTATAAGATCTTATATAATAATAACTTTAATAAATCTTCCAATATGAAAAATTCTAACTTAATGTAAATGAGATTAACAAGCCAACATAAATAAATAATAATTAATCATTTTCAATCTAATTAGAGCCAAAACTTACAAAGTTTATTACCTGGTGATATTCTAGAAAATAATGATTAAAAAAGTTCAATATACATCTTAAAATCAAAATATCGTTAAATTTATATATGATATATAAACTCTAGGCTGAAATTAAGATTCAGTTTGATTATCCTTATTCAAAAGGTTTAAAATTCTTTACTATAGGTAGTCTAAACATCATCCGAAATTTCAACAATCTACTGGTAAAGTACCCATAATTAGTGCCTGTAACACAAAAAAGCTAAAATCATCATAATCAGCCTCAAAAAATCTCACATCTTAGGGACACTTTCTAAACCTTACAAAGAGGTTGAAGAGAAAACCTTCCTTAAATTTTGGAGCAAAAAGGTTCAGACAGAAAAACCCAACTTTAAAGTCCTCAAAACAGAGATCTCTCATTATCTGAAGTTGGATATTCTAAATACAATCCCACAAATATACTCCTCTTAAATATCAAACTTAAATTAAAAAGTCATTTGCTGTAATCTTAAAACTCTTTTTGGAGCAAAACATAACTCTCCATTATTAAACTCACGATAATTCCTTACTAGCTACCACTAAGTTCAATTTTTCTGGCATATTTTACAATTCAATTATTCATTCTTATGTTCAACCAAAGCAGTTTCCAAAATTAGTTATTTATCATTATATTCTAGCTTTTTGGCTAGATTCTATGAATAAACAATCTTTAAAAAATTTAAATCCAATCACTTAATTTCTTGCTGAAACCTACAGAAGAGTAGTCTAATATTAGATGTAAAGAGATGTTTGAATAGACTAGGCGAACCAAAGATAGCATCACTCTCTTAACTGATCAAATTTCTTTTTGCAGTCGAGTTTTACTCTTCCTTTTGTATTTATGTCTTTCAAATTCTACTTTCTTCTTTCTCTTTACTGCTCTGAAGGAGGTGGTGAATTGCTTATTCTCTAATATAAATTCTTCTAAGGTCTAACCAGATTCAATGGAATACCTTATATCTCTTCCAAACTACTTTATCTACTATTATCTAAGCCTTATTCAACTTCTCAACATCAGCAAACTATTAATACAAAATCTTTATTAGGATCATAAAATTTTTATGATTATTATTTATAAATTTGAAAATTTTTTTACATCTAAGATTGATAGATTCAAATATTTCTCTTAATTTTTAGACTTGTATACTATTCTCCAAAAGTTCCTGTCTTCTTGGAAATAAACCTTATCTATAAAACTAGATCTTTTTATTCTCTACTATTCATCATATATTAAATGCAAATAAGAGACCCTTCAATTTCCTTCAATCTTAATTCTGACAAATTTAATTCAAGTCTTCTCTCAGATAGAAGGGTTTAAATAATATTAATCTTATGATACTTTTAAATACAACCGAAATGGTATTAAAACATTGTTCTTCTATTGCAGAATTGAGTCCAAATATCTTCTAGAACAACTTGCTATTTTTTAGGTGAATATCCCTGATATAAGACTATATTGGTTAAATTAAGAACTCTCTCTCTCATAGGGCTTTTATTTGAAGTCACTAAACCAAACTTTACATATTGAAGCTCTAGTTTTCGAACCTAGGATTAAATTTTTTTTTTGGTAAAACATTCTGCACTACTTTTATTTTACAACCATATAGGCTTTCATATTTTACACAATTAGAACCTAAGGCTAGTAAATAACCTTCTCTTAAATCATATTAATAAAAATAAAATTAGATCGATCTTACAAAATTGTATAATTTTCAATTATTATTCTTTCAAAGTTTGGTTTTTTTTCAATTCAGGTTTAATTGGTTTTTTATTATCTATCTTAAAATTTACTTATGACTATACTTAAACTAAACTATAATTATAGGTCTTTTTGGAGGATAATATTGATTGTAAAATCTTTAGTTTATGTAAATATATATCTAAATTAGATTTTTTTAGAATGGATTAATCGGAAATCAATACTGTTAGATTATTTATTTGAGCAAGGAACCATCTTAAAATGGAGATAACTTTTATTTTTTCGGGTAATTTTATTTCACCTATAATAATTGTAATCTATCAGAAAGTAAATTTGATGATTTATTATAAACCAGAAATTGATGAAATTTATTGTCTATTGATTCAAACTTCCAATAATACTTTTAGGTGATTGAAACAAAATTAGATAATTTTTATGATTTTGTTTAATTTTATACATGTTACTTTAAAAAATTCAAATGTCTTAGTTGATGTAATAAAGTCTTATTTTCAAAATCACAAAAATAAAATTGAGAATTAAATCTTTGAGATCCACTTACTACCTTTAATCTTTTAAGTATGTTTAGATTTTTAAAGATTTTAAGTAAATATTCTAATAATTTTCTTTCTTTTTTTAGATTCTTCTGAATATTGTCTAAAACATTTTTATATGGTGACACCTATTATGGATAGTCTTTGAATAGAATTTGATGGGGATATTTAATATATCATTATAAATATTAATTAAATGGATTTTTTAATATTGTGAAAAATATTTGTTTTTAATAATTTAACTTATTTCCTAGCTTTCATTTTTGGATAAAACATTTAGCTAATACTTTAATTTTCCGTAACAGCTTTAATGCTGGCCTATCAATAACTTGATTTTTAGAAATCTAAAATTATCTTTTCAAAATAAAGATGAAGATGTAAAATTCATCAAGCCAGTTTTCTATAAATTTATCAGATGATCATTATAATTAATTTTTCAATTATATGTTAAATATCCCAATCCCTATAACTTCTAGGCAAGAACTATATTAAGTTGGTTGTGATTCAAAACTTAAATAATAACAATATTGGATATTATATTAGATCATCAGTATGGACCTATTTAAATTAAAATTTCTATGCACTTCCTTATTGTTCTCGAATATGCATCAATATGTCTTACTTATTTTATTACATGTATTAAAATTCTGGAAAAAAATCTAGAACAATGATTTCTGTCCTTCCTATCCATCGTTAAGGAATCAAATCTACTTACTTTGCATAATTCCATAAGTGTAACCTGTTCCACTCAATCTTACATTATGGCGGTTTCTAGAATTACAAGGCAATGACTCACTACCAATTCACATCTCGTCATTACTTAGGTTAAGAGGTAGATTTCTTTCAAAGGCTGTACAAGAAGCCTATCAAACCCAATCTCTCATAGCTCCTCTCGACTGCAAGCCTGGTGGAATTATTTTCATTAAAATATTTTTTTAACTTCAATTTATTTGAAGTTTTCCTAAGTAAAAGTTTTATTTAAATTACTCTAGAATAGAAACAGTACTTATTGAATGGAGTGTGAATATTGGGATGATTTTATATTAAAATATATAATTATATATATTTGAAAAATTAATTCATATTTAGAATTTTTTAAACTTGTATTGAGTTTGAAAATCAATCAGATTATAGAAAAAAGTTTAATCTTAATTGAGATTGTATTGTTATTAATTATCTATCAAAGTTACCAAAAATATTTTAAAGATAACAGTGGATTAAGAATCGAGAAATAAATTTTATTAGCAAAATGATGCATGCTAAATATTTAATTTATTCAAATAAATACTAACATGTAGCATTTACTTTAATTTGAATCAGAATAAAATCAATATATTAAAAGAATAAGTATTAGGTGATTATAATTTTAATATTAATTAAATAAGTAGGTCATTAACCAATTTTAGAAGTTTGCACATAATCTTTATTTATTCTTGATTTCTAATCAATAAAGCCATTTACTATAAAATCTAATGTAGGAATTTCAAAGTTACTATTTAATTAGACGTAATATCTTTAAACAACATAGATGAAACCTACCAATGAACACTATAAGAATACATTTGAACTCAATATCAAAGACAATCTAAGATTTTGAAAAATTATGAGATTCTCTTTTATGAGTTATCAGAATAGTTTGATCTTATTTAAGCGAATAAACAAAAATTATATTTATTTAGCCTTGCTACAAAGAAGTTTATATGGTTAAAAAATAAATTTATACATATTTTATCAAATGCTTTAACTTAATTTTAATTGTTTAAATATAAATATGCAGGCCTTTTTAATCCAAGAATTTAGATCTAAACTTGTACTTTTGAATAACTTAATGGTGTAAAGTATTTTGGTTAACAAAAAAATTAAAAAGAACAGTTATGCATTTATTGAGTATGATACCAAGTACAAAAAATTTAAATAAGGAAGATTTAAAGGTTTCAAGTAATTAATAAAAATACTTAATTAATCTTAGATTTAACAATATCAAAAAACATTATTATTTTCTAATATTTATAAGGGTGTAAATTGTTAAGTAACTGAAGGTGGAAAAGTTGTTGAGTGTACTGGTAGTAGTATTTACTATTGTCTTTGTAAAAAAGCAATTCCAAAGACTGAGAAAATATTGTTTGCATTCTAAATTCTCAGTTTAACATCTAATATCTTTATTGGTATTGGATTTAGAGATATTATATCAAAAAATAATTATTCACCTGTAGGAGTTGGGTATGGGTATTAAATTATAATAGATCATATATGATTCGTTAAGATGGTTGTACATACTCACATCATAATAAAGATGTAAATGGTAAATAATTATCATTTACATTTACAACAAATGATATAATCATAATGGAAGTAAGTATTGAACATAATTATGTTGAATGTACCAGATAGAATAATCTAAGAACAACAACTGTAACTATCAAATCCAAAGAATTTCTGATTACAAAAATTCTTACTAATTTATATTTCATTAACATTAATTTAAGGATTTCTTTTAGATTTTTCGAGCCTTATTAATTTTTTTAATTTCATTTTCACTTTTTCATATATTTCATATATCTAGTTGTTTATCCAAATCAAAAATTCTAGAAAATTATTTATTACTAATAGGAACAATAAATATAAAAGTACAATCTCTTTTAGCTATATTTCAATTTATTCAAGACTTCACATTAACATTAAGCATATTTAGAGATATCTACTTAAAATCCTTTAAATATTTAAATAGATGTTTTATATTAATGCTTAATTGATTTTTTAAATTCAAACCTTAGACTACTAGCAAGTAGAAGTATTGGCATATTACTCAAATTTGTAAAGTTTTTATGTAACCTCTATCAAATTTAGTATTTTTTGCTTTTAAAGGCCTTCTGTTTTTTTAAGCCAAATGAAAAAGTAAGTTAAGTAGTTTTTAATTATAAAATCTCTAAATTCACAAAAAAAAATTCTTCTTAAGATAAGGATAGCTAAAGATAATAAATTTTAAATGAATAAGAATTGAAAATATTTTGAAACTAAAATACTTTTACTATTTTTTGTGGAAATATCGTGTTAGTGATTGCGCAACTTATCAATTAAGAATATTCATAAGCTTTAATGAAAAATTAGAAAATGCTTATGATAATAAGTGCTACACCAAAGTTTTTAACTTTGTATCTTTAGGAAAAATTTGACATTTTTCAGACAGGATTTGAGGTTTGATTCGAAATTTATCCTCAAAATTTCAATGTAAATGATTGCATAGTTAAACAATTTCTTATTTGCTAAATAAGAAATTGTTACCTACTGGTTATATAATCCATACTTTTTTAAGTCAATAGGAACAAAAAGTTCTTATTATTAAATTTAAATTAAGGCATCAATAAGCGCTTCATTATATTCAAATAAATTTGGATCTTTATGAATTCTTAAAAAAGGTATTTAGGTTCAAAAATTGTGATAATTTAAGAATAATCCCAAATAATCAGATATTAATATGCATAGTATAATAATTAAATAGATCTTGATCTATTGTACGATTTGAATTTTAATTTGTAAAAATATTTTTTTTTTAAAGATAAAAATTTTGTATAATTCTAGAAGAGTGTAAATTTTTCCTAATTATATTTAAATTTAACAATGATTTATCCTCTTACTATTCAAATTTTAATAGAAGATACATTATTGATAAACAACCAATAATAGTGATTATTCCCTTGATAATCAATATTGTGATGCCATTTCTAAGAACTCATATCTAACACGCACTAATTAAAGAATATTAATGGAAAATAAAAAATAAGTGCTAAAATACTGAAAAGAACCAATTTATTATAATAAGTTAAATTAAATTAATGTTTTGATGATAAGAATTATGATATCTTTATGTTTCAATCACTCATAATCAATTATTGAATTTAAAGAATTTTTTTTCAATTTTTTGAAAGAGTTTACTAATTTTTTATGAAAATGTACCTCTAACACTCACTTAGCTTTTTCCGAATACTTATATGATTTACTGTATAAATATGAAAATGAATCATATTGTTTTATTTTTATAAAATAATAACTTCAGTTAATTGGATCAATTTATATTAAGAATTAATATAGTTAATCGAATGATAATAAGTACTTCTTAAATATTCAGTAAAGGATCAGTAGTAGAATTCAATGTTATAAATAATAAACAGTTGTATAGATATTTAAGAAAAATAAATTACTTCTACTTACAAATAATATTTAACTTTGTAAAAAAAACAATAAATGTTGAATTTTCTTTTATAATTAGACCTAAATAGCTGAAGGATTCATGACAGCTCATAAGTCTAGATAAGATACAATTAATATGATAAATTAGGGTGAGTTTTTGGAGATGTATTCTATTGGGGGGTATGCTTTAATATATAAAAAGAGAAGGAAGAAGAAATATTATATTAAATAATCTATATAACAAAGTGATCGCATTACATTATCTGGCCGATTAATATGAAAAAATGTAGAATATAAGGTATATCAAATAAAGCCATACTTAAAAATAAAAATTCTTGATCAAATACATTTAAGCAAACTTCTTTCTAATTAATCACCCTTACCATTTATTTTAAATTGGCTTTTTGAACAGGCACTTTCTGTAGAATTTTGGACTTGTATAAGTATACATCAAATTATTTAGGTACTTTATTAAATGAATAATCGATCCTAATTTCTGGTTTGCTACCTAAATACAACTCTGTTTTAAATCTTAGTATCTTGTTGCAAGTCAGAGTATATTATCATTTTTTACTTATAATAATCTCAATCTTTTGATGGTATTCAGTCAAAATTTTTACATAAATCCATCTTTCTCATAAATATTTTTAGTTTTGAGAAGTTATTATTGATTATCAGATAAATATCAATTACCAATTAAAATCACATTTTGACAGTATAGTTTTTATCTAATCAATCAATTATTCTTTAAATTTAGCATAAAGTATTTTTTTTCAATTTATATTTACTGTATACAGTAACAGGATCATTGATTTCGATGCATATAACTTGAAAAAGATTAAATATATATAATGAGTAGAGAATGTAATGTTGCTTTATGTATAATAAATTCAAATTTCTTTTTAACTATTAATATATATATTAACATTATTTTCTAGAGATCCAATTAAATAAAAAAAGAGATTGATTAAATATATCAGAATTCACCTATTATTGCTCACTTCTTTTTGGGTTTTTGTCAGTTTATAAATATTTTATTATCATTTTAAAAATATAAATTTATATTTATTAAATATTGAATATTGAAATTCTTAACCATCTTTATCATAACATATGTAAAAGTTTAGTTTAATAAAATCTGTATTAATACAAGATTAATTTATTGTAATATTTAACTATTTGATTTTATTTTTCATTATAGATTAGTGCTTAAATTACTTTTTTTTGTAATAGACCAATATATATGTTTCATTAAATTCTAAAGTGATATGATTTTTGTAATTTATTCGTTACTAATAAGAATTTTTAGTAGTGAATATCAGTATTTATTAATATACAACATATTAGCTCCATATATTTATTATTACTCTTAAATCCAATTTCTACCCAATAGTAATTATTATGGTATTAAAATTACAAAAATTCCTAAAATAATAAGGTTATAAAATAATTGCTACTTTGATTTTAATTACTCCTCATGTTTTGATATGGTTAAATGAGAATATTAATACTAGTTTAATAGATAAAATGTTGAAAACTGTTAGATAAATTGAATATATATTAAATTTAAGTCTCAAATTATTCAACTTTATACGTAAGAATAGTTAAATCTTCAAAGAAATAAGCATGAAAATGTCAAAACAGAAATACAATGTCTGATTTATCATTCAATCTATTTATGCCTTGAAATAAAAAAGTTTATTAAGTATTGGATAAAAATTAAAAATATTTATTAAATGGCTGTTGAATTTTAACATAAGACAGAAAAAAAATAAAAATAGTTTCTAAATAGAAACCAATTTTTTTTTTTGAGAAACCTTATTAGTGCGATATGAATAAGGCAAAAAAATAACGATAATTTTGAGTTGATTTGTGAATGTAAAAACATTGGTGTTATTTTCTTGGTAACCTCAACAATTTTATATGTAAAAACTACTATTTTATAAATATATGATCCTGATTTTATAACAGAAGACTTATTGGTTTTATTCTTGCAAAGTTATTTTTTGAAAGAATGAGATTACTAGACTAATCACCTATTTGAGTTCAACTTTTTTATCTCATAATCTCTAAAAATTAATAAATTTTTGAATTTTAGATTAATTAATTTCTAATATAAATATTCTTTGTCTTTATGAATAATTAATAGCAAAATATTATACCTGTCTTAAGTTAATATCAATCAATTTCACTAGTTAAACTGATTGTGTTTTAATCATTTTGCTTTATTAAACATACAAAAAATTTAATAAATTTTATAATTAATTTTTGATCAAAACTGATAATTTTGATTTTTTCAATTCGGAAGCTTATTATAATTCTTTTAATTTTGTAATATAATTATATTTCATTCACTTCTCAATTAATTCAAAATTAATAGAAGGTTACTTATATGGCTTTGTTAGTTTGGAACAACATCTAGGTGCTATAAAAACAATAATTAAAAAAATAATCATCAAAAAGTAGAGTACAATTAATACTATATGATATTAATTTTTTTGAACATCTGGGTCTGTTGAATTTGGATTATCAGGTATAATTGTATTATTATTTCTATTTGTGTTGCTATAATTTAGATTCTAAATAAATAATGACTGTTTTATTTAATTTTATGGATTATGGCCTGTGATTTCAATTGATGTATTTTAAATACCGGTTAAATCAATAGAGAGGGTAAGATAATTCTAAATATAATATAATTATGAATTAGTTTTATTTCTAACAGCATAATTATTACCAGATAATATACTAAAAATTAGGAAGGCTTAACCTATATTATTTCGAATCCTATCATTCTGTTTTATTTTTTTGTATTGTATTTTATTTGAAATTTACGTTCTTCAAATGTATAGATTTGAGGAGTTAATATATTATAGTCTTAAAAACTTTGTATCATTACTAAGCCATTTGATCCTAAAAATACTAGAAATGATGTTATAGTTTGGTTAGAATCTATGTAAAAACCTTAATCTAGAACAAAACTAATAAGTTTTCCTGTTGTTTAATTAAATAAAACGATATACAAATCAACAACATTGACATATGTAACAATAAATCTGACTTGTATAAGATTTTCAGAAATATATTCTGAGGATCCAAATTATCTAGTAATTTTATTAAATGGAAAACTAACAAGTTCTGTTTATATTAAATTCCAAGTAGAACTTTAAAAATAAATATTACCAGATTTAGTAGTTTAGTTAGGTGCAAACCCAAAAATTTAACTCATTGTTGAAGAGATGCAATGTTTTAATAGAAAAAATTCATTATTACCTCGACCATTGCTTGAGGTTGTTATAAATCCAAATATTTAACAAGGTTGAGTAGTAAAGTTTTAAGACATATTTAAATACAGAGAACTTATCAAACAATTATGGCATACTCCATTAGAATTGAAAATTTACATGAGATTAATTTGGTTATTGGAAATCCAAAAATAAAAAACAAAAAAATCCAAACCTTGAAATTTGCCATTAGAAAATCTGTTAACATACCATTTTGATAAGTTGAGTAATAAAAACAACATACTTCAGTAAAATTACATTAGATTATTTAATTTGAAGATGTGTTAAATGCATATATTATAGTTGAATTTCCAGTACAAATTTGTACAGGAAAAGAATTTTACATTTCAATAAAAAGAAAATAGCAATTTTAATTTCCTTAATCTGTTAAATTATATATCATTGATAAATTATTAGTTTCAGGATAAAATTAATATAAGTTATTCTATTAATCTGTTAAATAGAGTATATCATTTTGATTCAACATATTTTCAACAGAAATGTTTATAGATTATGAATTGCTAAAAGCAATCGGTTATATAATATTAAAGGAATTGCATTAATCACAATTTACTGTATAATTCTAAATATTTCCATAAAAAAGTGTTCTAGGATTAATTTTAATATCCCCTTTATTCTATATGCTGTAAGTCTATTTATCATGCAAATTTCGAGGGAGTAATAAATAGTTTTCATAAATTATTGAAACATTTTGTATAAAAAATGAAGAAAAATTTTAATTCTATGCCACGTATGTTAAATTAATTTTTCCAATATAGTCATCTTCATTATAACTTATTGCTAACATAAAATCATATGATAAATATGGATGATCTATGAATTTTTATTTATTTGTGAATAAATAAACCACTTATACTTAATAGCCTGGCCTTTAATCCTAAATAGAACTCATTTAAATGAAACTTAAGCCATTCAATTGATATAATAAAGAAGTCCTCAAAGCTGTATAAGAAGTTCCAGTTCCAGAAAATTAGCATAATTAGAAAAAATTACCCTGAACAAAGATTAAGTAGAAATTACTAGATGTATAAGTACTTAATATTTTAGGATTTTAATATATTTCCAATCCCTAGAAATACACGTCGAAATAATTAGATAGACTATTTTAAAGGTAAATATTGATTTTCTGATAGAAATAGATAAAATTATTATTGTCTTAACAAAAAGCAAGATATATTCCATTACTTAATATACCTATAGCATTACTATTGTAGTTTTGTATAGGATATTAAATAGAATTAATAAATTCATATGACTATTTTCCATTATATGCTAAAATAATTAATTCATCTATATTATCTATAAATAAATAATGTGGGAAATCATATGGATTTATGTAAATTTCTTAAAAATTATAATTTGAAATTGTAAATAATTACTATTTTTCGTATATATCTGTGGCAATTAATTTACCATCTACAGTAGTTGTAAATAAGACATCTTTTAAAATTTCAGCACTTATGATCTTCATTTAAAATGGTAACAAAATTTATTTAGTTGGTTACAAAGAATAATCAAATTATTGTATTAATACACTACTATTAAACTACATAAGAACATTGATATTTTATGCAGTTTTGATGCATGAGCACTTCTATAATTTTAAATAAGTCTAAATATTGTATCTTTAAGATAAGTATGCTGGATTTTCTATTGTTAGAATAATTGTATCATTCATAAATTAAGTACAATATAATTCTTATTATCTTGAAAATGAACAAGCTATTGAATAAATTGCATTTTGTATAGACTATTCTTCAAACGTAAGTCCTTCAACACTTGCGTAAAGATAATCAGAATTACTAGATTAAAGTGATAATGTTAAATTGGGACCTAAAAATATTTGGCTTCTATCTATAACTTTATCCTAAGGAAATTATAGAATTAAATCCTCTATATCTTATTGAAATTAAATAGGATTCTAATTTTCCGTAACATCTAATTGAATCAATTAAATTTAAAAAGTATACTACATAAATTTATTATTTAACTAAGACTTTACTTATATATCAAGTTTTACAGTTTAACTCATTTCTTCTAATAATTTGGAGGTATCTTAAGAAATAAATATTTAAGGTTAATTAATTAAGTAAGTAGAAATTATGGTTTAATTATTGAAGAATTCTTAAACAACTACAATATTCCTCAATAAATTAAAAAATGCATATGTTCCAAATTATAGTAGTTAATAACCTGTAGCCTTAATGGAGTCCTTTAATTACAAGTCAATTATGAATGTATCTGTAACAATGAATATATTATCCAAAGTCAATTCTATTTTGTTTATTTTTT